TCAGATTTAATAAATTTTGATAACTTTAATGAACAAGCTATGATAAGAGTCATAGCATATTCTTTTGCATTTCAGTTATACAAGATAAAATCACGAAATTTGTTGAAAAACAACCAAATGCATACTTTGGACAAGCACATCCCATTGTTGTTTCCAAAACTCCATTAACCTTTAACACGACAAGTTTTTTCCAAAAGTTTTTTGATTTTTGTCGGATCTACACTCGTACATGTAAATACAACTTTCTTATGAAAGAGAACAATGGGATAAAAAAATAGGGTACATAATCACCAACCTGAGAATTACATCTTTTTTGGTATTGAAGTACATTACAATGAACAAAAAAAATTCAGATAATTACATCAACCAAGGGTGCTAAGCTATCATAAGGTACGACCACCTTATCTGAAGGAGTCTGGATCTTACTCCACTCGACGTGTTGTGCTTCGCCACTTCAATTCAAAATGCCACAATAAACAAACATTTATTCAAACATATATACATGTATAATTCTTCACTTCCTAATAACTTCTATTCTAAACAAAATAATTTCAGATTTTTCAACATCCAAGACTCATGAACTCAAGAACTTAATCTATAACTAATTATTTGGCCATCAAACAAAAGCATTAAATAGAACCTAATCTTCTCAACTTAACTTATACAATTAGAGGAAGGAAATAATTGTCTAACTGAAGATCCATATAAGGCAGAGGAGTTAGTGAGAGAGACAAAGGGGCACTAGTGTATGAGATTTAGAGCGTTAGGTTTATTGATGGAGTTAGATTTAAGAGGAATTAATTACATTCTTAGGGGCAAAAAAAGGAATTCAAAAGTTTTGAGATTGCTAATATATATATCTCCGCTATGAAATACAATAATGCTAATTGTGAAATATTTATTGACCCATTTGATATGATAAATGTCACAAGTGTTTGAAATTCCAATTCTAATGGTAATTTTGGTATTTTCAAAATTTTGGAGGAAAAATGTGTCCAAGTAAAATTTTTCATTTATCATGACATTTTAATGTAGTATAGATTGACATAAAAAGTAAATATACCATAAAATTAAATATGTAACATGCTATTGAATTTTTTGATAGTTGATGGAACTTCTCCTTATATATACTACGACTATATTATAAAATGCACAACTCATTGTTGTGATGAGCCTGTTTATGAACTTTTTTCCCCCAAATTCAATGTGATTGTTAAGTTTTTATTTGCTACTCTACTAGAGATTTGGCTTAAGGGTCTATGGTTGATGATAACTTAGAACTTCCATAAATAGTAAATGCTAAAACATTCGTTTACTATGCAAAATTTGAACTACAACCGAGTTATTCTCATTGCTTCTATTGTTGCGTGTCCTTATTTATACTAGAACATTGGGGAGGTGATTATGGTTTGACATGGTGGAACTCATGGAGGTGGCCAAAAACTAGAGGTGGTATTGGTTTTTTTTTTTTTTCCTTTTTTGGGTCTGCTGATCTAATAGAATTAACATACCAAACATATATTCATGATAAGGACATCTAAGAGTATATTGGTTTGTAGTCTGTAGTTCTCATAAGCAGCCTATACAATTGTTAGCTTTGAAGATTGTGTAAAGACCAGCGATTCCGGCCAGAAATAATTGGTGCAATGTCTTTGTTCATGGTTTCATTGATGTCAATTGTGTTTTGTAATGAGGCGCTTATTTGCATTCTTTATTTCACTTTTGGTGAGCCATCCATTTAGAAATGATAATGTATGATTCATTATCTTATGATCTTTTGATGATTTCCCATTGTTCATTTAGCATGATTTCTTTAGGTTTTTCTAATTCGGTTAGTTTTTCTTTCAAACACGTTTTTTGAGAGAGAATCAAACAAATATCATTAAAACAATGTAGGTAATTGCATTCCATAAAAATTATCTATCTGAATACTACATATTTAAGAATGACATTTGATTAGGAAGATGGAAGGTGATATACTCTAGTTTCGATATTTTTTTCACATAATAAAAAACATCTCATTTTTCGGAAACAATCCGCGGTTGCTTTTCACATTTGGAATCAATTAATGTTGCCTTTTTTTACAGTGTCTATGTATCTGTGATGCTTTGGTATTTCTATCTTTTCTTTCTGGTACATGTAGATGGAGAAAAGAGACTATGATGTTAATCAATAACCACAAGGGATGAGCAAGTGAGGGCAAACAAAATAGGAAAAAAAACAAATAAAAAGCAAGGGAATAAGTGAGCTCCCATTTGTTATTAAACATTCGACTGCCATATTGGGTATGCATTAGAAGCCACTAACTTATCCATATGGTTATAGGTACCTTCTCTCTCAGAATGTTTCTGTAACAGGTTTCTCTGATTATTACTTTTGTCTATTTGTTCTACTTCATTTTGTCAAGAAAAGTATGTTTTTATAGCAGGTCTATTTGATTTATTACTTGTGAGTATTGGTTTGTTTAATTATATGCCGGTTTGCATGTTTAGCTTTTAGTTAGAATTATTAAATTAACACAATCATGACCTGTTTTTATAGCAGGTCTATTTGATTTATAACTTGTGAGTATTGGTTTGTTTAATTATATGCCGGTTTGCATCTTTAGCTTTTAGTTAGAATTATTAAATTAACACAATCATGACCTGCTGACATGCTCTCTCGGTATGCAGGATAACCTTGACCAACAAGATCATGGTGTACGAAAATGGCGAAAGGCAGCAAATTCTATATTAAGTTAATGATCAACCAACATCTTAAAGTGTAAGAAATTTCAAAATGGCCTCGTGATATTTGGAACAATGACTTAGGCTGAATTGGAGGAGAAATCGTGGAGGATATATGAGGTGAAAGCTCCGGATGCCATCTCTGTGTTCAAGTGCAGTACCCTTTTTGTAGGAGGTAAATCAACTGGTTTTTGGTTTGATCTATAATTCTGTTGAGAACGCCAAAGAAAAGTGAACCCAAATGCAGGCTCATCACCGTAATTTATTGACCTTTGCTTACTTATTTGCCTGCCTTGTGATTTCATACATTAAACCTTGGCCATGAAACCATAACAGTGAATATTATTCTTAAATTTTCTCTTTTGTATGGTTAGTTCAATTTGTTCTCTCTCTCTCTCTCTCTTTCATTTTTCATCAACTCATTGCCAAGCTCACAAGGGATAGGTATTGCCTAGGCATTGGCAGCACTATTCAGAGAATCGGAAATAGCTATTTCGCAAGATTTTTGTTGAATCATTTTTACGCTTTATACCAGGATGTGGATAGCTGTATGCTTCTAATGGCTATGGACTAACCATTGAAAGGAGGCCTATAGCTGCCTATTTTAGGAGTCATAGTTCTGCTTGACTTCATATTTCAATATTGCCCACTTATTCTAGGATATAGACTAGATATGTGATCCTAAAGGATTACTTCTGTGAAATCAGAATTGCTATGGATCAAAGTTGTATTGAAACTATCTTCGTCCAATTAACTAAGACAAAAAAATCAAATAATTGGGCTTCACCCTTTGTCCTCCCACATTTTTGGATCTACAAATTGAAGTTGTTACATGAATTTTCAATTTTTTATGGACTTCTGCCGCAAACAATCGATCTACAAATTACTCTGGTTTTTAAGATGATGTGCATTTATTATATTGGGAAGAGCAAATATAAGGCATTCTACAGTTTGTATTCAAATAAAAAAGAGTAATGTTACATGAACTTAAAAATTATACTTGATAATCTCAACCATGATTTCACTGTTGGTCTCAGTATTATTGAGATTCACTACCTATTCAATGGTTAAGATTATCAAGTCTAAAGTTTTTAAATTTATGTAGCATTACTCAATAAAAAATTTCTTGTTTGTGTGATTTTTTTTGTTCATATGCCTTGTAATTTTTTGGGCCAATTGAAATCATTTTATGTAGGGAAAATTTTAATCACACTTCTCCTAGTTTATCATATTTGCAAGGGTATCTTTTTATTTTTTGAATTTTCACTGACACTCCCTATCAAATTGAAGACCTTAACTAGAATACAATTTTACTAAATTGTCCATAATAGATTTTAGGAAAAATTTCATCCACATTCTTTTTAGGTAGGCATATCTTCAATGAAACTCTTTTTTTTTATGAATTTTTTTAGATATTAAAATTTAGGCCAATTGGATTGAATAAAATTTTAATCAACTTGTATTGAATTTTTATTGGCTCCACTGTTATTATGTAAAAAAAATAAATTTTAATTTGTAAGAAATGGTGGTTCAACGATAGGGGGTGTTAGTGATGTTTAAATACAAATTAGAAGGGATGTTAGTGATGTTTTGGATAATAGAGGGAATGTCCTTAAAAATATGGTAAAATAGAAAAAGTGTGACTCAAATTTTCCCTTTTATTTAAATACTAAATGTACAATTTTTTTGGACAATGAAAAGTTATTTTTTTTTTTTACGAGAACTCATTTCTACTAATATAAGTCATTAGTATTTTAAATTTATTATATAATCTAGCCGCTAGGATAGTTCAATCTATTACACTCAGAATGAAGGAATTGACCAAGGAGCTCAGTTGCTTATATTTGGTCAGACATCTCCAACACAACAGACATAATTATTTATTTCTTCTGATGGTTGTAACTTGGATAACAATGACAGCTTAGAATAATATTTTAAGTCAAAATGGTTCTCATACATACAACACGCGTGTGCATCAACTAGTTAATACAAATAAAAATGGTGTAATATAATTCAGGTACAACGCAACGCACGTGTGCACCAACTAATTAACACAAATGGAAATGGACAGACATGGACATTCTTATAGAATAAATTCGATCGATTCACAATTGTATCAGTGCAACAGCATTTTTGAACAACTTTTCAACAAATTTACGATGAAGCAGCAAGCAATCAATCAATGCATTTCATGATGAAGATCTACCCTCAAGTAGCTTGGTTGCCTGCAAAATATCGACAACGATTCAGAAATTCCTATTTTTTGGGGGTTACCATGGCATTCTTGGCAGGCAGACAGAGCTTTTGCTAGAAAGGAAAAGAAGGAAAACCAAAAAGAAAAAAAAAAAGAGTTAGTAGTAAAGTTTGAGGGGAGATAGGATCATGAACCTTCTTTTGACAATCTATGAAACGGGCTATGAGAGGAGATGATTTTACAGTAGATCCTCCCAATATCCCATCCAAATGGAGAATGAAACCCATGACAATAGGTCCTGTAAGTCCGGCCAAATAAAACCCCACGAGATTTACATAGGCATCTATATGCTGCCACCAACTTGCTCTAGCTACCTCTGTTTCAAAAAAGATATCACTATTAAAGGTGTCATTTTTCGAAGAAAAATTAAGGACAAATAAGTTCTAACAACTAAAATTAATTCTTTATTTCTAACACCATTTTTTTTCAAAAAATGTAAAGGAAATTACTGGAAATATTCTCCTCGGCTATGAGTTGTAATACAATTCCATTATTCAGACTGCAAAATGGTCATTTCCTAAAGTTCTTGGCACTTATAAGAGAACTATACATACTTCTTGAACCTAACTCATCAAACAAGAGAGATAAATTGTGCACACATGTATTACCTCGACTGCAAGTCCATCCCTTTAGGGAACCTGCGATAATTTAGCCCAGTTTGAAGTATATGTTTGCACCTCAAAAGAAATTCAGGACAAGAATAGTGTTTTATGACTAATGCGAAAGGACTGCTTGTAAGCTGTAAGGGAATAGACAGACCTAACAGAGGAACCATTACAGCAATACATTGACAGACCTAACAGAGGAACCATTACAGCAATACATTGCATAACTCCTCATTCCTGCAAGCATATCCCAGAACAATAGTGATGGGCTTTACGAATGCAAAAAAACATTGTACTCCAGAAAGCCCTTTGAGCTGCTTGTGGAAACCAGAATCCTAGTTCATTTGAGACACTAGTACTAGAAATAGTCAATGGGTTATATGCAACCTCATGGGACATACTGGCTGCTACTAGTCTAGTTGAGCACCAAGGTTCCTCGGGTCCAGCTTAAACATTAGAACCCAACAGAGGGGTAAGTGAAGACACAGACAAAAATGGAGCTTGTGAGCATTGGGAAAATCGAAGTTCAAGTATAGAAGTACTGAACCAAAAAAGCAATGACTGTCTGTCCATGAAAATCCAACGATGGGGAATGTTTGAGTTTCTTTATAATGTCCAATTTTTCCATCAATGCAATACTTTCACCGAAAAATAAAAAATATAGTTTCTTTCATAAATAAGACCATAAGATCAAAAACAATTGAAGCCAAAAATGAACAAATTGAGAAAATTGTAACCAACTCAAATTTTACCTAAAAAATTGAAAAAGAAGATGAAGATGAACCAAAAAAAAAGAAGAGCAAACACACAAATGCATCAATCAAGAGTACCTAATTGTAACTATATACCAATGGGTCTTTGATCCAATGATACTCTTTACCTTGTGAAGGTTTTACCTTCTTGAGGTCAAGGGTTCAAGCCCCCTTCCTCCCTCCGCCCCCCTCCCAAAAAAAAAGTAAAAAAAAAAATTGTAACTACATAGCTGAGATCGTTTCTCCAAGTCCAACTAATCCCGGTACAAAAATTTAGGTCATGTTTGGTTAGCATCTCCAAATCAATTTTTTGTTATCAAAATTTTAAAAACACCAAAAACAAGTTTGTTTAGAATTTTTGTTATCTAAATTTTTGAAAAAAAAAATAAGATTTGAGTCAAAGAAACAGAAAACAAGTGCAACTTGTTTTTATAATTTTCTTTGAAAATTTTGGAAATAAGGTGAACAATATATATATATTTTAAAGTTTGGTTTTTTGATTTTTTTTTTATGAAATTATTAATCTAAAAATAAATTTTTTATATTTTTTTATTAATGTTTGAATTACTGTTCAAATATATATTTAGACTGTCCAAATATATATTTGAATTACTGTTCAAATACAAGACAAAACAATGTACTGAAATTTATTATTTTTTGGAAGTCAAATTATGATAGATAAATAAAATAAATATTTTACAATGCTTTGGAGGAGTTTAGGATCGCTATAATATAACTTGACCCCAAGAGCAGAGCAGAACAATTGCAGGGAGAAATAAATAATACATCAACAAGGAAGTCACAGAAATTTACCTTCTAAAGTTAATTTTTATCTGCCTGCTCCACAAGCGCTGCTGGCAACCACAACCATATGAATCAATCAAGGTTGCTCCGTCAGATGCATTTTTACTCGCGTGGGATCAAGGACTGTATTTCCAACCATTGATCCGAATCTCACGAACATGAGCTATCTTTGGCCAGTCCTCTCCTTTCTCTTTCTCGCATCGCCTCTCCAAATGTGGACATCCTGTAATATACAGTGTTTTGAGTGACTGCATCCCATCTGGCAAGGAGATCAAGTTGGGGCAATTCCAATTTCCAATGTTGACAGCGACATGAGGCTTCCTAGCCAATTCGGTAGAGAAACTAATCCATTACAAGACCATACCATCAGCTCTCGGAGAGCATTTAAATGTTGCATGTCTTCGGGCAAAGACGTCATCTCTGGACAACTAATTATGACCAAATTTGGAGAGCAGTCAGGTGTTTTACTCCTTCAGATAAACAACTTAGTTTCTTACAGTGCTGTATGCTCAATGATCTCAGGGAAGACAAGCCTTGTAACCCTGTCGCCGGTAAGGATGTAAGGCTGTCACAATCCGTAACTCGAGTCTCTCAAGGGATCTGAGGTTTTTGAGTCCATCTGGTAAATACTCGAGAGAATTACAACAATTAATTGTCAACTCTTTCAGAGCAGAAAGATTATCCAGCTGATGTGACAGAGTCTTGAGATTGCGTAGTCCACTAATCCATAGGAACTCAAGAACCTTGTGATTTTGAAGCAGTCCATCTGGAAGAAACTCCAACCCATCAAACCTAGATATTTCAAGCCAGGAAAGTGAAGTGAGATCCATCACCGACCTTAATAGCATCTCATTGCTGTTTTCTATGCTTAATCTCCCAAGTGATGGAAGACAAGGAAATTCAGTCAACCTGGGACATTGATGGATGTATAATTCCGCAAACGGGGAAAATTTTCTCCTCTATCAACTGTTGTCCATTCCTCCAAACTAGGCATTGCACTGAAACTGAGCTTTTCCAGTGCTGGAAATGATTGTTCCCCATCTCCATAGCAGTCATTGTTGAAACACTTAAAAGCATCCATTGCAACAATAGAAAGAACCTTGAGGGAGGGTAGTTTCCCGAGAGGTGGAAGATGTTCACATCTCTTACATCCAACTAGAGAGATTTCAATCAGATTTTGAAGATCCAAATCTAGCATCCAATTAGGAAACTTCAAGCCTTGATACGACCATATGCTCAACTTCTTTAGATTTGGATGAGGTTGGAGACCATCAAGAATTTCTTCATCATTATCTAGTAAGTTGTCAGTCTTGATATCCCCGTAATCCAATATCAAAGCACAAAGATCCTGCTTCCTCTTTAAGTTGGCACTTCTTGCGTCCTCTGAATCTCTTACATTATGGAGTCCCTTGATGGTCAACTCACCACTAAGATTTAATTCTTCCAGCTCGCCTATTTGTTGACCACCGTCCGAACCCACAATAAAGATGCTTAAAGTCTGTAGGTGTTTTAACTGCCCGAGTCCAGCAGGCATACAAACAAGAGAATTACATCCATTAATGTCAAGACATCTAAGATTTCTCAAATTTTTCATACCTTTGGGCAATTCACGAAGTTCAGTGCAACCTTTCAGCTTCAATATCTGTAGATTTTGCAGACAAGTCATTGATTCCGGTAAGGAATTGATGCTACTGCTCGACATGTTGAGGTACCTGAGATGTTTCAAATTCCCAATTAAAGATGGTACTTCGTTCAAGTAACGGTTATTCAACCCCAACACTCTCAGATTACTTTGTTTTGAGATGTAGGTAGCAATATCCTTCTCGTTCATTGCTGATGATAGAAGTAAAATGGAGCGTAAAGATTGAACTTTTAGCACAACTTCGTATCGAGGAAGCATCCAATTTGAGATCCGATAAAAGATAAATGGCGAACTTTTTCTGGAATTTTCAGCTCCTTTCGAGGCTCTATTATGTAGCATTCTTGTATCATAATAGACACTGCAAGATCATGCATCAGATCATGCATTTTACATGTCAAGTCACCCTTGTAATCCTCCTTGACATCTTGAAAGAAAGACCTGCAGACCAAATTATTAAAGATCCCACGGCCCATAAGATATGGATTTGTTTCACCTTTAGATGGAATGAAGTCGTTTGCAATCCAAAGCTCTATCAGCATGTCCACCTCCATTTCATAGTCTTTGGGAAATATTGAGCAATAAGCAAAACATTGCCTCGAAGATGGAGATATATTGTTATAACTTAGCCTTAGGACAGGTGAGATATCATTTTCACCATCCGCTAAATCCCAAATTGCGCTTTCTTTCACACGTAACCATTCACTTGTGCTGTTTTTAAACCGCAACAGGCTTCCAAGGGCCTTTATTGCCAAGGGCAACCCACCACATTTCTTCACTATTGCCTTGCCGATTGTTTCCAAGTTTTCCTCCCTCCTTCCAATCTCGAATGCACGGGACTCGAATAAAATCCAAGAATCATCCTCCGACAAACACCTCAGGTTAAATATTGGAAGCGTAGCCATCATACGAGCAACTTCCTCACTTCGAGTGGTTACCACAAGCATACTACCTTTCGCTCCACACCTTAGTGCAATTTTGAGTCCATCCCACTTATCATGGTATTCGTTCCACACATCATCCAGCACAAGTAAAAATCTCCTCCCACTCAATTTTTCTTGGAGGCGTAGCTGTAGTGGATCCAACTCTAAGATATTGCACCCACCACCTTCTATCGACTCAATGATTGCCCTTGTCAGCCGTTGTATGCTGAAATCATCAGATACACACACCCAAATCCTCAACTCAAAGTGTGTCTTTACCCTTGGATCATTGTAGACCAACTGAGAAAGTGAGGTCTTGCCGAGCCCCCCCATACCCCATATAGCATAAACCGAGAGATCATTCTGATGGCTCGAATTGTCAAGCAACACTTTAATTATCATTTCTTTCTCCTCATTTCTACCGTAGATTTTTGACTCAATCACAAGGGAGCTGGTTTGCCTTCTCTCCATGTCATAAACTTGTGAATCTATAACACCCTCTTCCAAGGGGAACTTAACCCTCTCCCCTGCAATGGCATCTAATCTCTCCCTTATATCTTTCACCTTATGAGCCATTGTCAAGCGAAATACTAAAGGATTTCTATGCGTGAAGCAGGCAATTATTTGGTTTAACACACCTCTTTGACGGTCTTCCTTTCGTATGAGAGCTTCGGTCTCAAACTCATCCAATATATTGTCGGCATCATAAGCAGCATCCTTAAGCTTACTCAGCCAATCCTGCAGTGCTGCACTCTTGGTTTGCTTGGCCTCGGCATCTTGAAGCACAGCTTGGATTCTAGTGAAAGTACTCTTTAATTTCTGGATCTCATCCTTTAGGCCCCAAGCTGCCCCAAATTCTTGCAGTGCCGGAGAACTCAAGTTTCCCAAGATGGTGTTGGCAAGGCCAGAAACAAGTGTATTTGCCATACTCTCTTTGATTTAGGAACTCTATCCTGAAGCAACTCAACAATGGAAAAGATTGCAAATTGCAATGGAAAGGAAACAAAACACTGTCTGTATGAGTTCCAATAATGTTTGGGAAATTTACAGAGAGAAACGAGTAGGCAAGAGGCATGCTTAGACAACACCATACAGCTGTGAGCCATCTTTGGGCTCCACGCGGTATTGACTTGGGAAGACGACTAGACCAATCGACACCCACCCAACTTGATATCTGATAAGTGTTACGACGCCATATATAGCTCACTGTTTCTTTCTCTCAATTATTTTCTTCCAGCATTTCGCACGGCTCCAAATTCCAATCACTTTGATAAAAGTAAACCGCGTGGGTCCAATTGTTGAATAAAAAAACCCTGGTGATTGAGTTGTGATACATATCTATCTCCATTCATGGAACTTCAAGGAGTTGGTGTTTTTTTTTTTTTAATCAGGAGGAGTTAGTTCACTACCAGGCATGTTGGCTCTTACAAAGGATGTGATAAATTTTTCATTTTTCTTTTGGCTGAGGTCTATTTTGTTGTAGTAAAAATTTACCACAATATAAATTTCTAAACAGGGGTAGCATTTTTGCTAAGTAAAACTATACGTCATGGATTCGAGTCACTTAAATAATCTCTTTGCATATTACATAAAATTGCATAATAACAAAATTTTCATGGATTGACTTGCCCAACATAATTTCCTTTTAATGAATTTGTACGTAGACAACAAAAAACAAGTCGCTTGAAAATGGAAAACTCAATTTTATCATTGAACTACTTACTTGGGAAGCAATTACCATCCCTGCCACATGAGCCAATGATGATTATACACATTCATTGATGTCCTAAAAGACTTCAATCCCCATGAAATGCAGACCAGGGTAGTTTCATTTGGCTACTAAACAAACATTTGTAGTTGAAGAAAAGATAATTTTACTCGGTCAAACTCATTTAAGTTTCAGATTATAACAATACAGTTGTACCCTCGTAATCGCAATAACAAAACCAATAATAACGCGTTTGACCATGAGGAGAAAACCCTCCTTACTGCAATAATCGATTTGCCAAACTCACCACAATCACCCAAATGCAAATAAAATCTGAAATGTTTGGACTATCTTAAATTTTTGTACAACTTAACAAATTATTTTGGCTATCAAATCTCTACATTTTTTTTATATAAATCAGGCTACGCCCCCTCCCCCTTCCCCCTTTTCCCTCCCACTTTTTGCTCCTCTTCTTTTTTGTACCAGTTGACATGCACTACCATTAACAAAATACTGAGAAAGCTGGTAGAAAATCTAATATAAAATAACATTTCTATGTCCTGATTCACCAGGAAAGTGAGGAAAGACTAGTCCCTACAGTGCAATTTACTCCAAGTATAGGTACAAGTTGACGAATCATATGTGCAACTTCTAATACGCATTTTCTATTTTCTATTTTTTTTTAAGATAGAGAGAGAGAGAGAGAGAAATCCATATGCTTATGGCTGGTGATTTATTATATAGGCCCTTAATAATTCAAGTTATCTTACATGTAACATCGGAATATAAACATTAAAAAAAAATTGGAATCCCCACTTTTAAGGTTCACTGAAAGGTGATTAAAAACTCTGTATCATGCGTAGCACCGAGCAACAACAAAGAACTCTGTACCATCCAACCATTAGCGCAAAAAAATTGGAATCCCCACTTTTAAGGTTCACTGAAAGGTGATTAAAAACTCTGTATCATGCGTAGCACCGAGCAACAACAAAGGACTCTGTACCATCCAACCATTAGCGCAAAGAACTTGAACTTTTTTTTGTTCAGCCTCCAAAAGTCTTGAGAGCATAATGCAATTCCAATTTCCACCCACCAATCTAACTGCTAACAAAACAAATACACTGTTTACAGGTGCTATAGAAAAAGCGAAAACAGTATATAATGAACACTATCAAGCACACACAGTAGATCAATATGACGATCTAATATGCATTTCCATCGTGACAAAATCAGCTTAAGCCTGCACCCGGTAGATGGAGTCAGTTGATATTGTACATCAACTAGGTCAAGTATCATGAATTGAAATTCTCTAATCCCAATGTATAGCTGGAGTAAATGACCATAAACCTACAAGCTAGCAACAACCATATTGGCTTTATAAATTTTAACTGACCACTTTGACAAACAGAAAACATTTAACGAACTCAAGCGTTAACAAACCATGAACCGCTGTGCTGCAGCTTACCTTAGTTTTTGTGCTGCAACCTCCCACTTTTTGTACCAACAACTAGATCAATTGTAACGTTTATGACAGCAGGCTTCATGCAAAAAAAAGATGCAGAAAGTGCAGATTTATGTTCAACAGGTGTCCTAACAAGATAACCTCTTCCCCCACAAGCTTCCATTCGAAGATGATATCCTGCACTAGGGACAAAGACGTTGCCACTGGATCATCTTTGTAAGGTCCTGCAATTTTTTCAGGGCACCTCCAGTCAACCACCATATACACAACTATTGTTAAAGACTATAACTATCACAGGCAACTCATATTGAACCAATGTCTGCAGAGTTCAAAGAAACACGCAACATTTATAGAAGAGAAGCAAAAGAAAAACTTACCATTGCCTAGCAATCACGCTTTCACAGTGAAATTAGCTTCATAAACACCACCAAAAAGATACTTATATGAATTACTCATGGTTTGCCTAATTGACATGTCCAATCCAAGCTTTTCAATTCTGGAACACTAATCATCCTAAGCCAACTTTGAAACATGTGTTGACATTCTTTTTCTAACACTAAAAATTAATTTCTAGAATTTCCATCTAATAACAAGATCACAGGCTGTTCAACAACAAAGAGCCAGACTTACAAAAATTATAAAATCATAGCAACTGTCATATCAATGAAGAATTGGGGTAAGAACCAACAACTTGATGTGATTGAAAACTATAAACTATTCCCAACCCTCAAAACTTTAGGATGTTGCCTTCGATTACATATGTAATATTTTTTGGAGGAAAAATAATGGCAATCCCACCTCACCCGGTGGACATTAGCACCATCCTGGTTATTGATTCACAGCACCTCATGATCAGACATCTGTCACTTGCCAATATTGAAACTTCGCCCAATGTTGATGTCAAAGTACATAATTTGCCCAGAAAACTACGAAGCACGTATGCAGATACGGGATATATGAAATGGATGCAATAGGATACGACCATAGCGATACAATAAAACTTTAAAATAGGCACACATATTGCCAAGATACGTCCACATACAAAATATTTCATATTTTTCCCATTATCTCACGATGTGATGATTATAGTTTTCAATAA